AGGCTACGTCTAGACTGGCACGATTTTCCGGAAATGCTTTTAACGGAAAAGTTTTCCGTTCAAAGCATTTTCAGAAAAGAGTATCTAGATTGACACGGACGCTTTTCTGCAAAAGCACTTTGTAGCCAATCTAGAAGTGCTTTTGTGCAAAAAAGCCCTGATCTCCATTTTCGCGATCGGGGCTTTTTTGCGCAAAACAAATCTCAGCTGTCTACGCTGGCCCTTTTGCGCAAAAGGGACTTTTGCCCGAACGGGAGCAGCATAGTATTTCCACAAAAAACACTGATTTCTTACAGTAGGAAGTCAGTGCTTTTGCGGAAATTCAAGCGGCCAGTGTAGACAGCTGGCAAGTTTTTCTGGAAAAGTGGCTGATTTTCCAGAAAAACTGGCCAGTCTAGACACAGCCCAAATGTTTCTGTTGTATTTCTTTTTGGTAAGGTTGATGGAGAAGCAAACCTGGTTCCAGGTTCCTCCTAGCTTTTCTGGCTCGTCTTGGTTCAGTCTTTTTCAACATTCACTCACTGATGTCACTTTTGAGGACTGGACTTGCTTGGGTGATTCTGTCTCGTTTCTGTTTGGTTTGATGAGAAGCAATCCCATTCCAGGCACAACGCAACCCTGACCTTGCTTTAAGCGATGATCAGAGGAAGCTGCATGCCAAATGTGTTGGCCCTAGCTCTTAATTTTTAGGAGGAGTTCTTGATCAAACAGACCAAGTCTCTAAAATATATAGTTGATATATAATGCAGTAATCTAGCAAAGCTGTTATTCTGAAGCACTCTGGGGGTTTTGAAATAATTTTGAGCAATGCTGCAGCAAGTACCAAAAGGACAATGTTATTGCTCTTGAATACTCTAGGGCTACGTCTACACTGGCATGATTTTCCGAAAATGCTTTTAACGGAAACGTTTTCCGTTAAAAGCATTTTCGGAAAAGCACGTCTAGATTGGCAGGATGCTTTTCCGCAAAAGCACTTTTTGCAGAAAAGCGTCCGTGGCCAATCTAGACGCACTTTTCCGCAAAAAAGCCCCGATCGCCATTTTTGCCATCAGGGCTTTTTTGCGGAAAACAAATCTCTGCTGTCTACACTGGCCCTTTTGCGCAAAAGTCTTTTGGAAAAAGACTTTTGCCCAAACGGGAGCAGCATAGTATTTCCGGAAAAGCACTGACGATCTTACGTGAGATCGTCAGTGCTTTTCCGGAAATTCAAGCGGCCAGTGTAGACAGCTGGCAAGTTTTTCCGCAAAAGCAGATGATTTTGCGGAAAAACTTGCCAGTCTAGACACAGCCTAGTCGTTTGCAGTGTCTTTGAGCAATGGCACAGCTAACGTTACAGCCCAGTGCTCTCGACTTTAACGTAGTCACTACAGAACACCAGAGTAAAGTCATTGTTTTGCGATCTGTTCCTCTCAAGCACTCAAACAGTCTGCGGTGTCTTTCCGCTGCACTACAACAATCCAACAGCGTGACAGTCCCTTATTTTAAAATGTTGCCGTATTTACTACAGGTTGAACTCTCTAGTTGAGCACTCTCTGATCCCGCAAAATCCCTGGTCCAGCATGATTTAAGTGAGCCGGATGTCCATGTATCATAGAATCACAGAACACTAGAACTGGAAGGGACCTCGAAAGGCCATTGAGTCCAGTCCCCTGCCCTCACGGCAGGACCAAGCACGGTCTAGACCAAATAGTGCTCTGCGAAACCCTGGGGTTCCATGACGTGAAAGTAAGGGTTCTGCAAGAACCTGATCACTCCCACCCCCCCAGAGCCGGTCTTAGGGGCGAGCAAGCCGGGCAGTTGCCCGGGGGTGCCATTTTCAAGGGGCCGACTGCTACCGCAGTCTTAGGGGCGGGCCAGCGTTTTGGAGGGTTTTTTTTGTTTGACACTTTTTCCACTTTTTTTTTGGTTGAACAGTTTTCCCCGGCATTTTTTTTTTAAAAAAAAAAGGGTTCCATGGCCAAATAAAATTGAGAAACGCTGGTCTAGACCATTCCTGACAGGTGTCTGTCTACCTCAGTATTTCCCAATTTTATTTGGCCACGGAACCCTTTTAAACTCAAAAGAATTTTGCGGCACCCCTAAGAACATTCGTATATCGGATATATAACAGGTGATCACACCATTGACCGACGGCATGCGCAGCGCTGAGTGTGACATCATCGTCCCCACTTTCTGGCTAAGCTGGCATTACACAGGGACACTTATTGTGGCAAACAGAAAGGAAAATTGTTTTCAATAAAATTCATAAATTCTGAAATACTATTTTTTGAAATCGTAAAATGGTATCGTCATGGAATTTTCTCACGGAACCCTTATTTTCACTTCCCGGAACCCCATTTGGGAAACACTTGTGAAACCTGCTCTTAAATATCTCCAGTGATGGAGATTCCACAACCCCCCTAGGCAATTTATTCCAGTGCTTAACCACCCTGACAGGAAGTTTTCTTAATGTCCAACCTAAACCTCCCTTGCTGCCGCTCAAGCCCATTGCTTCCTGTCCTGGTCTCAGAAGCCAAGGAGAACAATTTTCTCCTCTCCTCTCTGTGACACTCTTTTAAATACCTGAAAACCGCTAGCATGTTCCCTCTCAGTCCTGTCTGTTCTAAACTAAACAAGCCCAGTTCGTTCACTCTTCCCTCATAGCTCATATTTTCTAGACTTTTCATTCTGGCTGTGTCTAGACTGGCCAGTTTTTCCAGAAAATCAGCCGCTTTTCCTGAAAAACTTGCCAGCTGTCTACACTGGCCGCTTGAATTTCTGCAAAAGCACTGACGATCTCATGTAAGATTTGTCAGTGTTCTTGCAGAAATACTATGCTGCTCCCGTTCGGGCAAAAGTCCTTTTGCGCAAAACTTTTGCACGAAAGGGCCAGTGTAGACAGCTCAGCTTTGTTTTCCGCAAAAAAGCCCTGATGGTGAAAATGGCGATCGGGGCTTTTTTGCGGAAAAGTGTATCTAGATTGGCACGGACGCTTTTCCACAAAAAGTGCTTTTGCGGAAAAGCGTCCGTGCCAATCTAGACACTTTGTTCCGAAAATGCTTTTAACGGAAAACCTTTCCGTTAAAAGCATTTGCGGAAAATCCTGCCAGTCTAGACGTAGCCTCTGAATGTGGCCACGTTTCCCACGGTCCCATAACGTGTGTTTACAGCCACCAGGTCTGGCTCTCAGGGTTCGGTGCTGTTCTTTAGCTCCAATTTACCCCTAAATGTCTTCTAAGCACCCAGCAAGGAGTAGAAGTGTTGCTAATGCTGCTAGACAATTTTGATCTCCCGTGGTCCAGCAAGTTCTGTGGTTCGGCACCCAGGGGCGGAGGGTGCCGGACTAGAGAGGTTCAACCGGCATATAATACGAGAGAAATTTGCAAGTAGCATGGTCTGTTACTCTAAAGTACTCTAGCCGGCTGTAGTTATTTTGGGCAGTCTAACAGTATCATGGCCCATTAATCTAGTATTTTACTATTCTACCCCTCTATACTAGACCCCCGTATTACTCACAGACTATATTTATTTACTATATAAAACGAATACGAGCCGGACTTCTCAAATACTCCAGTACTCCAGAGCAGGGATCCTCAAGTTTAAGGAGCATAGTGGGACGTCGATTTGTCCAGCCACCTCCTTGGGCTCTGTGGTCAGTGCCAGCCGGGCTGACCCCTCCCCGCCGGGCATGAATTCAGACCACCTGCCCCACCAGGGACTGTTTCTAGTGCTGAGAAGCTGAGCAGAGCTTTCAGCTGCACAAACGCCACGGAGGCTCAGCCACAGTGTTTAGCCAGGGGATGCCTTTTGCCTAGCGACTGTCCCAGCTAAATGAGCCCCTTATGAGGCAAAGAACAGACCAGCCACTGTGCCCGCCGCTGCATCTGTCCGGGGGCAACCCCAGACCCCGGCTCGGGTCACATGAGTGAAAAGGCTTTTGTGGATCACCCCCTTTCCCTCGGGGTCCCCCTCCCCACCCGGCCTCTGGCAGGGATCCCTGGCGAGCGAGAAAGAAGGCTCCCAGGTCCTCCAAGGCTAGTGA